CCTCAGCAATAAGTTTGTTTAAAAAGTGTAGCATATTTTTACTAAGGTTTTAGAAAAAATTTTAAAAATGTGAATTCGTAGATTTGTGTAATTTACGAAGATCATATGATAAAATTTTAGACGTGACATATCGTGTGACTGGTAGAGTTATAACCAATAGAGGCAGTTGGGTTAGACGCATGATTATGCATAACCATTATATCCTTAAAATTATTTTAGGCATAGCTTTAAATTATTAGGGTAAGGTTTCGGAATGAATACTGTATCAGCAAATTTACGAAAATTTTAAGACGTAAATTTATGACAATATGAGTTTATTGAAATTTTTTTATAATACGGTACAGGACGATCGACATATAAATATTGTAATTCACGAAGATGAGAAAGAACCAGTCCCGTTTGACTTTGGGAACATTACACCTAACATGAGCCTCGCAGAAGTGAGAAAGCTTCTCGAAAATCTCAAAGATGTCTACATGGGAGAGAATATGAAATTTCTTAGCAAGGACATTAAAACACGTATTCATTTTGTTGCGGAAAACGATAAAAAAGTTTTTGAGATTCTTGCTTCTGATGGACGTGTACATATTTTAAAAGACCCAACCAAACCAAGCTTGTCCCAATTTGTTAACGACCACTATCTCCTACATGGTTGTTACTTTACGCCAGATCATATGATTGAACGTGCTCGGAAGAAGAAAGCATTCAACTATAAAAATAAAATGGTAGCTGAAATAGATATGAGCAATAAAAGATTGGTAGATGACGAAAAGAAATTTGAAGAAGAGATTGAACATAAGTTTGCAAAAAATCCTGCCTTAAAAGTTGAAGCGACTATTCCTTTACCCTGGGCATTTACATCATTAAACTTTGGATTTAATATTGAAACTTTAAGTGAAAAAAAGCAACAGGCGGCAAAATCATGTAAATATAAATTCATTAATTCCGTAAAATGCAGTATACGCATCATGCGCGACGAAATCGAACCAACAAAAGAATTTATAGAGGCTATTGAAAATGCCTTGAATAAGCAAACTGATGAAGAAAAATTGAATGCAATTGAAGCACTATGGCAAGAATTTGGATGTTTTTGTAAGTATAGCTCAAGCAATCATTTCTCTGATATTTAGATGTCAGGGAAGTAATTGTCAGGAGAAACATATAAACTCTGTTCAAAATCTGTTGAAGAATGAATAATTATATTAATACTCTTTTTTAGTTCCTATGTGTACGGAGTTTGGTGGAAGAATTCAATGTAGAATTAACTCAAACAGTGAAACATATACTGAATTTGATAAAACACAATTTAGTTCAAGTCTGCAGGGGTCTTCGTTATCTTACAAATCCGAGAAAGATTCATCGATATTTGTGAATAAAAGTTACAACTACTATATGGTTATTGGTGGTGATGATAGTCTCAGGCCGGACATAAATGATAGCAGGAGTCAAGAAAAATGGTTTGAAACACTATATAATTGCGACAAATGGAAGCCTATTAATTATTCGGAAGTCATATGGATCTACGATTTATTAGATGATAAATTGCGAACGAAATTACTTAAATTGTTTGGACAAGATGTACTTCTTTATGACGCCTGTGAAGTAGTATTTAATAACACTAATATGATGAAGCCTAAGAAAATCGAGATTAAAAAAATTCCTCCCGATATGGCTAATAATCAAATATATGCGACGGTTTATAAGACTAATTGTATCGATGAAAATTTCTCAGTTCATGTGGTATATCATAGTAAAGCAAATCCTATTTTAGTGATACATTGTATTAGAACTAAGAAGGAAGGAGAGTCATTGCGAAAAAAAGAATTTACATATAATGTAAAAGTTGCCTGGATGATTGTTGGATTTCGCACAGACTTTAATTTTAAATCCTTTCCAAAACTTAAATTGAATAGTTTCACTGAAAAAATTAAACATCAAGAACTTTCAATAAAATTTAAATTTCCTAAAGATAAAATGTACTGTCTTCTTGGTACTTGTGTATTTAGATATCAAGATGAGGATGATGATAATGATGATGATGATATAGAATTGAAAATTATTGCAGGACTTCACTTTTGTCAAAATAAACAGAGTTGGAAACCGTGTTATTACGCGTTTGACAAGGCAAGCATTAATTTTAATTTCAATTATTAAAAGCTTTAATGCATAATTCTGGGTTGAAACTAATTCATTATTACTCAATGATTAAGTATGAGGCGAAAAAAATAGATATTCTCACAAAACCATTGGAAATCCATTGGAGTATAATCACTACCGAACAGGAATATAAAGAAATGTCGTGGAATAAAACAGGCAAACGTTCAATCTACAAGGGTCAAGATTGGAGTAGTTGTGCAATTGAAGGAGATAAGCAAAAACTCTTTTTTAGTCTTTTGAGTGAAGACGATTGTTCACCCTTTTTTGTAAATGTTAATCCAATGTGCCCTACACTGCATTTATTTAACATTGAATCTGAAAAAAATATTATTTCCAAGAAACTTAAATTTAAGAAACAAGATACAGAAAATTTAGAGAAAAAAAATCATATTGCTTATTTGATAGTGCCCTAAAGCGTTTCTAATGAGAATTTTATAAATTATATATACATTTGCCACTTTTCAATTATAAATGCTGAAAAGTCATACTGTATCTTCTTACAATGAGTTAATTGGTTTGAAATTTTTAAAATAATAACCTTAAGTAATAACTATTTTTTAGCTATTACAAATTTTGCATCTTTGGTCAATATTACTAGAGAAACAACGGCGTTTCGTGCATTTGAGCCCGAGTCATTAGGTCTTACACTTTGGAATTAAATTTAAAATAGCATTTAAATTTGAATTTATTCAATATTCACTAGAGATGAAATTCATTACGATGTTTTTAATTATTGTTATGTATATATAGAAAATTATCACAGGGTCAAGAGTTTGAACATTTGAAGGTTGAATATTTTAAGGCTTTTGGGCTAACAATTATATCTCTTAAAATCAAATGATTGAAATCTTCAATTTGTTTTATTGACTTGTTTGATTTCACAGACTGTATTATTGCTCTCCTTATTCTCGTTATATTACGCAATAATATTATCAAATCCAAATAAATCAATATTCTTCTTGAAAAGTATGCCCCTGAATGTTATACGCTTGATTGAATCCCTAAATCTGATGTTTCTTGATGTTTCTTATCAGAATTTCGAAGCTGCATAATAATAGCCTTCATTTTCTATATTTTTAATAAATTTTCCAACGATTGTATATAATTTCAAGTAATTCTTTAGCCGTAGGTAGTGACTGGACTCGTGTTAACTCGTTACTCGCGAGTTAAACTCTGAAGTGTGCTCGAATCATTCGAATAATAATATTCTTCGAGTTTTATTCGAGTTATTCGAGTCACAACAATTAATTTATTGAA